CTGCTCTCCTCCAACACACTGATTAAACACTGCATATCATGTGGGCAGAATGTGACCTGTGTGAGGCCACACAGCAAGGCTCCATCTTTAGCACATTTGTTTACACCTCCATTTTGACACACAGCAGTTAACATTTGATTTATTAAATAATGCCCTGCTGCATTTATGATCAATATACCTTATACAAAGTCAAGAAAGGACTTCAAGCTACGTCAAGACAGGATACCACAACCCTTTTCATTTCCCAAACTGGGAGGCCAGTGACGCAGAAAGGACAAGCAGCCTGCCTTTGAAGGGACAACTGGTCAGAGCCAATACCAGGAAGAAAAAGCCAATCTCCTGACTCCTGACCAATGTCTGTACTCGCTACACAGTGTGACCTTCAGATCTTTCCAAAAAGTAACCATCTGTGGTAAGGAAATTAGGGAAATGAAAGGACATTTCTGCATCAAAGGCTTCCTTTCAGCACTGATTAAACCAGAAAGTGTGTCACTGCTTTGACATAAAGCACTGGCAAAAGGCCCCACCTTGCAACCTGTGTATTTGCATATGCAGGTCAGGAAGGGAAAATCCTCCCTTCTCTGTGTGCTGGACCTTCTTGAAAGGTTAATGATTATGTTTAGCTAGAAGTAAAGTTAACCTTTATGAAAGGTTTCTCTGAGCAAATCTTTGACTCGAGTGCCTTCACAGAACACCCCACACAATGACTGCCATTGCAGGGGCAGATGCAAATAAACAGCAATGGCTTCAGGGCTTTGAGCACATTTTCATGAAAAGAAATGATCTATTTTGGGAAACAAGCAAAAAGCTTAAAAATCATAGGTGGGAAAAAATTGATTAGACAGCGACATAACTAAAAATTACACATGTTGTGGATGCTTAAGTGAATGACTGAAGTGTTATGCAGTAAAAAGTAAAGGTTTTCCTTCATGGTTAAATGAGCAGGCAGCACCAGAAGCAAAGAACACACTTTTCCCACTTACAACACAAAATTAGAAAGATTGGCTGCCAGATGATGTCAGGGAGGTCAGACACAGACTGACTCCAAAGAGGATTAAACAAATCAATGGAGGACAGATCCATTAGTGATTACAAGGCAGGATGGCCTCAAATCCAGCTTTGGCTAAGACCAGTCCTTAGCTGCTGACTGTCAAAAGAAAAGGGGACCCTTCCACACCCATCTTTTCCCTTGTGATTTTGCCCCCACCATCTGCTGTGAGCCCAGATGAGCCCCAGGACACTGAACTAGACACACCAGTATAGTGTGACACACTGAACCTTCTTCTTTCCCTCACAGGAGATTGCAGCCAGGTTCTTTTTTGCATCACTCCTGAATGTTCAGCATGCCACAGATCTGTAGTTTCTTTCCCTAAGATGTCTCCCAGGCTTGGCACACACCCTCACCCTGCAGTGCCTCCCCTTCCAGGACAGTGGACTGTTCCCATGTCACAGCCACCACAACAAAGGCCACGACAGAAAAATTATGTGGGGTGTGAGTTTGTGCTGAGATCACAACAGGTGAAGGAGGTGACTCCAGGAGACTCCTGGGTGGCCTGAGCTTTTGGCTTTTGCTGCTGGGAGATCTCCAGAGCTGCCTGGGAGGACTGTCACAGTCCCACAGCCCCAGCAGCTTTCCTTCAGCAAAACCAAAAGCTCGGTGTCTGAGAACCTGCCTGTACCAACACAATAGCTGCAAGGGATAAAAGATAGCCATCTTTGTTTCCACTGTGCAAATAAGCCTTCTCAGAAACACCAGAAATCCTGGGATAAGTGATAGGAAACAGAACCATCAGGAACTCCGCGAGCCTGGAGCGCCCTCTAGGGGTAAGAGACGGGAGGGCCACGCACCCCAAACTACTCGGAGAAGCCTGGACCGAACCAAACCTTTCCTTAAGGAAGTCATGGTGAGGCCTTCACTTGCCTGGACAAGAATGGAATTATGTAGCCATGGTTGGTTGGACTCTCCTCCTTTCTGTCCTCATTTTAAGAGGCCTTGCTTTGGGAAAAGCTCTTTCTCCTCCATTAATACAGTGACCAAGGAGTGTCGAGACAGGGATGCCTTGACATTACAAGAGTAATTGCATAAAAAACATAACATGAAACTGAGCACACCCCCAAACGTTGGTCCAAACATCCCCAGGGCAGAAACCTGGGGAGGATGCAGAGCTCCACAGGCCTCACAAACCCACTGAGCCCTTGTAGCAGTGAGTCCAAAGCTTTGCTCACAGCAGGCCAGAGCTTAAACAGGACCTGCTAGTTCCCTAATTTTGTTCCCAGTTTCCCACGGAGCAGAAGAACGAAGACACATGTGCTGAAAAATATTCCCGGAGGGAGCGAAGGGGAGAGGGCTCAGTTACCGGAGAGAACTGAACAGTCTGCACAGGGGCAATTTCACAGGGCAATACTGAGCAGGCAAGGGAGCTTCTCTCTCTGCATGTGTCCCTGTCCCCAGGCCCAAAACAATGCTCGTGGTTTGTGTCCTGCCGTGTTAAACTTCATGCCATTACCACAGCACTGGGAGCAGGAGTCACAACCCTCCTGTTGTAGCCAGAGAACAAAACGTGTCACAAACACAGCTCCCCTTCTTCTCAGACTTGAATCAACATACAGGAGCACCTGATGAAGCTACATAAATACAATTAGGAAGCCAATTTTGCAGCTGCTTGTGTATCTGCACCAAAATATCAGTTAAGGGAGTCACATTTGCTCAGCCAAGGACAAGGCACAGGGCTTGTGTGTTCAATTGCAGATTGAACCTGGGATAACAACGTTGATAATGAACTGCTTCCTAAAGAACAAGGATTGTTGACAGATACTACTGGGTGAAAAGTGTCAGCACTACTGGATTTAAGACACTGCAGACAAAGCCTAAACACAAAGAAAGCAACAGATGCAATGAACTTCAACATTTCTGAAGTGAGGTATTTCCACTGCAGTCTTAAAGTTCAGTAAAGGCTGAAAAAAATCACTCTGATGAAACAAAATGGAGGCAAATCTCAACCCAAACACACCACACAAAGCTCCCAATCTGAGATGACCAACCTTTTCTTCCAGCAGAAGGAAAGGATCTGGACACCAACCTGCTTTGTGCAACAGGTTATGTGCAGGACACGGTTCCTGGAAGCAGCAAGAGTCTGAAGCCATGCCCTGCCAGGTGCTGCCAAACAGCTGGATCTTGGCCCCAAGTCACAGTAACCTCCCCAGGACACCACAAGGAAACTCTGAGTTGTCCTCAGAGCTCCGTTCCTGAGCTATTCATCATAAACTTCTGGTCTTCCATAATAAATGTGCTATAAACGTTCCTTCAGGGTAAGTAAAGTGACAAATCAAATCAAGTTTTCCCAGGGAAGAGGCTTGGGTTAAGCTGTTGACGCTGCATCTTTGCACCAGTGGTTTCAAACACAGCATGTTGCACAGCACTGCACTCCAGTTTGGGCAAGAGGAGGTGATTTTAGCAAACCCAGGCATGTGGGCTCAATCAACAACGTTCTCAGCCGTCAACAGCCACTCTACACAATAGGCCTTTGTTTGGGGCCTGGCACTGCATGGGGAGCACCAGAGCACAGCCCCAGAGGAAGCCTTGCCAGCAGATACTTCGCCATGCAGAATAGGAGTTCTCTCTGGTTTTAATGATCCAAGAACTCTTGGGAGTTAGAGGTTGGAAACACTCTCTTCAATCAACCAGAGCAGAAGTGCTGTTGACAATAGCAAAGCCAACCATCACTGGCTCCAACTGGCAAAACTATTCCAGAGCTCCAGAGAGCTCTGTCTCCAAACTTAAGCACCACAGAGTGATCAACCCAGACAGAGCAGAGAGCTCCCAAGTTCTCTGGACAAAAGTGCCTTCACTATGACTTAGGGCCCAGCAGGCTCTCCATGAGATGCTGCTGATGCCCCACACCAAATCAAGGCTCTGGTCCTGAATATTCTTCTACAGGCTGAGATGAGAGAATGTCTAAGTGGTCATTGTGCTGACTGCCACCAAACGGCCTGGAACCCTCTCATGGATTTCAGTAGCAACCTCTTCCTCAAAGGGCACAACAGAAGCACAGGTTGTCTTTGCCTGTTAACTTTTGTTTGATTTTTGAACACTAAAACAGTCACCAAGCAGCAGGCAAACAACTAAAGAAATGACTACTAGACTGAAACCAAGTTTCTAGGACTCATAAAAGGACAAGCTATGTCATCTCCAGAAGTTAACCCAAGCTCCAGAAGAAAACAAACCAATCCAAAACACAGGAAAAAAAACCCCTCACAAACCTTAAACCCTCCTGAGGGCTAGTAAAGAGCTTCCTTGCGAGGATGGTCCACGTGCTGAGAGCTACACTACTGTCAGGGAAAGTCTCACCATGTAGTTCTTGGGCTTTTCTGTAGCAGCACTGGAGAAAATGGGAGTTTTCACTTGGTCATGGATGGCTGTCCTTTACATTCTTATGACTGACAGTCATGTTTAATTCCAGCCCAGGTGAGAACTTACCTTTGATTTTCCTGTTTGTCCAGAAGCCACCATGGAATTATCAGACAGGTGGTAGGTGCCATTTCCTACCAGCCTGCGCTGTCTCGGCCTGCCCATGGACAAACAAGCTCTCTGGAATCCATTACTGTTTTCCAGTAGCAGCTTCCTAACTACTGCAGGGTTTTGCAGGCAGCCTCTGGACAATGTTTCTATTCTTATCCTTGTATCAATGTACTAAACCACTGGGATATCAGTATAGATTTTGAACTTCTGTAGCAGAACTAAAGAAAGCCAAGCCAAGTCCTTCCATCAATGGTGATGGATCTCAGTGTAATTAAGTGAAACATCAGTTTGCAACATCTCTTGCTCTAAGCCACGAGGCAAAGGTCACCAGCATCAGTTCCAGATCACAAGATTAGAATCCCTTCCTTGTTCTAAACAAAGTGGAATGACCTGACCTCATCACTACAACCTCAGGACACAGCAGTGCTCCCATTGTGCTGTGTCCATAACTCACACACCCAACCCGCCCCCACATCCATACCTCTGTTTCAGGCCGTGGAATGAACACTGGGGGTCTCATCTTCAGGGTCAGGTCCTGGAAGTCCCACTCACCAAGCACATACTGCACTGGCATCCTGTGGCAGGCAAGAGCAAGTGTAAATGCCTTGGGACCACGCTCCGTGAGCCAGAGGAGATCTCATGCCATGCCACGCTTACCTCACTGCCCACCACACCCCCCTTCTGAGGGGGAGCAGCTCCACATCCCCAGGCCCAGCTGCGTGAGCAATGTGCACTCTGGGGGAGCTGCATTCCCACAGCTGAGTTTGTTATCAGACACTGGACCCAGGGAACTACAGGCCAGTCAGCCTTACACAGATACTGGGGAAAGCGATGGAACAAAGCAGTCCCAGAGACTGCTTCCAAACACAGCAAGTACAGCAAGGGGACTGGGAGTAGTCAGCATGGATTTAGTCGGGGAGATCATTCCTGACTGACCTGGTAGCCACCCAGGGCACAGTGACCAGCTTGGTGCATGAGGAGGGCAATCAGTAAATACTGTGTATCCTGACTTTCCCAAGGGCTTTGATTCTTGTAGCCCATAACTCTCTCATACACCAGCTGGTCATACATGACGTACATACCAGATAAACGAGGTGGACTGAAAACAGACTGAACTGTGAGGCCCAGAGGGCTGAGTTCAGCAGAGCAAGGCTCAGCTGAAGGCTGATCACTAGTGGAGTACCCTGGGGTCAACAGGGGGGACAATACTGCAGAACACCTTCGTTAGTGACCTGAATGCAGGGACAGAGAGCATCCTGGGCATGTCTGCAGGTGACAGAAAACTGGGAGGAGTGGTTAACAGACCAGATGGGTGTGCTACTTTCCAGAGGGACCTCTGCAGAAATGGGCTGACAGGAACCTCAAGAAATGCAGCAGAGTCATATGAAGCCCTACAAACTGGGAAGGAATAACCCCATGCAGCAGTACAGGCTGGGGGCTGACCAGCTGGGCAGCAGCCTGTGCAGGAAGGGCCCTGGGGATCAGGTGGACAAGTTTTGCCCACCACTTTAATCACCACGAGACCAACACAGCACTGGTACTTGACATCTGAGCTGCTGCTGTCTGCTACCATTCTTCTGGCTGATTTCAGGCTGAAGGAAAACCCTCTAAAGGAACAACTATAAGAGGGTGCTCTTACCTCTCCAGTCGCTTGTTGCTCAGCTGCTGGATTTGCTCCTGCTGCGTTGCTGTAAGCGGAGTGTGGAGGCTTTTGGAATTCAGGCTCTGAAACTGAAGACAAAGTCACTTTAAAACCTGCCCACTTGTGCCACTGGGGTGTCCTCTGCCACCCTGCCAAGGGCATCCTCCAGGGAGATCCAGGGCACTGACAATCACACTGCTGGAAAGCCCGGGTGATGAGCAGAACCTATCAGCATGTTCAGAAACAAACCCATACCACTGTTCTGCTACTTCTTGGGGCTCACAAGAATAACTAAAATTAAGAATCACTTCATCAGGCAAATCGGGGTAAGTGTGTATGTCACAGGTTATACTTCAGTCCCTGCAAAAAACAGCATTTAAGAGGCCCCAAGTGTTGTAGTGGCATTAATAAACTATGGTTCACTCTCTCTGCCATTTAATGAAAGATAAGTTGTTCTATTCCCTACAAGTGAGATAAAAAGGAAGGTAAGGGATTCAATCAAAATGACAAAGTGAGAGGCAAGCACAGACCTTATTCTTTTCCTATTACTTAACTGTTTTTGCTCCCAGGACAAATGACACAATGTATTGGCTGGATTCTCGTGCTTCAGGGATCCCATTTGTCTCAAACACCTTCTGCCAGTAGTTGACCATATCAGTGGCAGTCAGGAGCCCAGGTCCAGCACTGCAGCTCTGCCTCAGAGACAACTGGTTTGGACTGAGGACACCACCTTCACCTGGACTCAATCGCCCTGGTACGTGCTGAGGTGAGAGGCTCAACAACCTCCTGAGCAGTGGATGGCTGAGGCATCTCATTGTTGTGCAGTTTCTGGTTTCCACATGTGTTCCTCGTTGCCATCTGCTGATCCAGTCAATGCTGAGGCTCACAGGACACCTGGTGCCAACCCCAGCCGCTGTGGCTGAGCACCAGCTGACCACAGTCAGTGGGTTCTCCTCGGGGCAGCGTGAAAATGGCACTGTTCTGCAGCTCTTCTGGTCTAGAAAACAAGGCAAGAGAACTGCCTGAATCCACCCAATCACAGGTTCCCCTCTGACAGAACACAGACTGCTTGCCCTAACCCCTGCCCACAGGTATAAAAACCAACTACTCACACCCTAAGATTACACCAAAAAAAAGACTCAGGTGACAGCCAACCAGCTGTGTCACTGCAATCCACTTCTCCACAGGTCAGAGGCCAGTCCGTGCCTATGGCAGGGCAGAACGAGCTGCCTACAGAGCCACAGCCCTCCTGCCTGTTCTTGCTCCCAGAAAGCCACTGACACACCAACCTTCAGCTCCAGCCCTTGGCTCTCCACCCCACAGATCACCCTGGCTCCCTGCAGGAAGACCTTCAGTCTCTCCCGGATTCTTTCTTTTACACCTCTCTCTGCTCATAAACCCCACATCCTCGGTTAGCAGGGATGCTCACAGGAGACCTGGACTCAGTGGGTGAAGGGTCTTCCACACTGTCACCATCCCCACAGGGCAAACAAGGGGTCACAGGGCCAGAGCTGAGCTGCTAAGGGCAGAGAAAGGAAAAAACCTCACAACGTAACAGAGGGAAGAGAAACACTTGGAAGATGCAAAGGCCAGAAAGGGCAAACCCTGCCAGAGGGAAGTCGGTCTCTTAAAGGAGAGGCAGAGGCAGAGTCAGACAGAGAGGGAATAAAACCAAACAAGATGACTGCAGGAAACAAAGGAAATGAAACTTTACAAAGGGGCTGCTGCATATCACACTTGGAGCAGTGGGAAACAAACAGAACAACCACCACATTTTCCTGCTGTGATCCATCTGAAATGAGGGCCCCCCTCCCTTCTGACTCACAGCCCCTGGAGCAACTGTGGGTTTCCCTGAGAGCCCGTTTTCATTCCTCTGTTGATGGCTGCTTTTCAACACTGTCTCAGAGAGGCCACAACCTTGTCTGCTCCAGTTCAGAAATGCACCACACAGCTAAATCCCTCTCCTGAGCAGCTCCCTGCCCCACAGGAGTGCTGCTGCAGGGACAGCTGGGGATGCCAGCTCTGCTCCAGCCTGGCACACGCTGGCACCACAGCCCTGCTCCTGCTGCACAGCAAAGCCATGGGACAGCTAGGCCTCCACTGCCCTCCTCTGTAAAATCAGAGCCCAGAAGGAAAACCCTGAAGCAAAGATCTCCAGACTGGCTTACATGCTACCTCCTGGCAGAGGGGTGGGTGCTGTAAGAGCTCAGAAATCCCTTTCCTACCCTCTGCATTACTCTCAGTAGAGAGGCAAACAGTCCCTATGAAAATTTGCCTTTATGTTATGCATAAGCAGCCCCTCAGATACAGTGCCTACCCAGGCAGCTTCCCACTCCAAGGCCCCGTTTAGGGGATACTGCCACAAGGGGAGCACTAAAGGAATAAAACATTAACGACCATTAGTGTTGTTAGGGAGGCAGAGCAGACCTTAACTGACTACACCTGGAACAATGCTGGCATTACTAGCATTATTAATCACAGATTCGCAGAAATGTTAGGGTTGGAAGGGAGCTCTGGAGAATATCGAGTCCAACCCCACTGTCAAGGCAGGGTCACCTGGAGCAGGTGACCCAGGAAGGCATCCAGGAGGGTTTGGAATGTCTCCAGAGAGGGAGTCTCCACTACCTCCCCGTACAGCCCATTCCAACATCCAATCCCTCTCTCTGTGAAGAACTTCTTCTTAATGACCAACCTAAACCTCCCCTGGCGCATTTTAAGACCATCCCGTCTTATCCCATTGCTGGTTACCTGGGAGAAGAGCCCGACCCCTACCTGGCTACACCCTCCTGTCAGGGATTTGTAGAGAGCGATAAGGTCATCCCTGAGCCTCCTCTTCTCCAGGCTGAACATCCCCCCTCCCTCAGCCGCTGCTCACAGCACTTGTACTCCACAGAGCCGCCCGGGACCGGCACACGGCTGCTCCTCCCGGCCCCCCCTGCACACGCAAGGCCCCAGCCCAGGCCGGGCGAGGGTCCCTGGGCCTGAGGGGCGGCGGCGGCTGCTCTGAGGCGAGCGCGCGCACAGCGGCGCCTCACCTCGCGGCCACCGTCACCGGCGGGGCCGGGGGCGCAGCCGGCTCCCTCCGAGGACTCGGCCGGGCCGCGGGCAGGGCGGTGGGCAGCCGGGAGCCCAACCCCGTGCCGGGGCAGGGCGGTGGGCAGGCAGGAGCCCAATCCCGTACCGGGGCAGGGCCGTGCGGGATCCGTTGCGGGGCCCCGGCGCTCCCGCGAGCGCCCCGCCCGCCGCGCGCCTGAGTGACAGCCGGGCCGGCCAACCGCAAGCCGAGCCCCGCGGCTGCCGGCCAATGGGCTGGGGCGGCGCGCGGCGGGGTGGGGCCGGCGGCGGCGCGCGCGAGGCCGAGCGGCGCGGCCCGGCCCGGCCCCGGGCGCGCCCCCGCGGCCGCTCCGCCCGCGCGCCGCGGGCACCGGACGGCTCGGCGGGGAGCGCGCAGTAAGTGCCGGCCCCGCGGGCGCTGCCGCCCCGGCGCGGGGGCTCCTCCGCGGGCTGGGAGGGGCGGGCTGGGCCGGGCCGGGCCGCGGGGCTGTCCGGCCGCGCCGTCCCCTCCCGTCCCGCGGGCGCAGCGGGACCGCCGCGGCCTCTCGGCCCCGCCTGAGCCCCGGCGGAGCGGCGGCACCGCGCGGGCAGCGGGAAGGGCCGTGGGACCCGTTATCCGCCTGGGAACTCCTTCCCGGGATGGGGAAGGAGCGATTGCCCGCAGGGATGGAGCACCCGCGGTGGCACCGTGCACCCGCACAGGGACAGGGACAGGACGGCGCTGCTGCTCCTGTGTCAGTGCGGGGTCAGAGAGCGCTGACATTGCTGGGGGGTCCCCGCGCCGGGGACCGGGTGGGATGGGAGCGTGGCCCCTGTCCCACAGCCGGGGGGCGACAGCGGAGCAGCCCCGGGACAGCGGGAACACGGGTCGGGGCTCCCCCCTGCCCTGCACCTGGTCAGCCCTGGGGCAGAGGGAGGGGAAGCCAAAAGTTCACGCACGGGGAAGCCACGTCCCGTTGCCAACAGCAACCCAACGCCGCTTGCATTGCAGAATCACTAGAGCCACTTCATCGGGGTGAAGTCATGCAGGAAAAATGCTAGTTACTCTTTGCCTTCTTCGCCCAGCGACACCGTGACCCATCTTCATCCCTGTGACATAAACCTCTCTTCCTGTCACACCCGAAATGACAGGGCAGCACAGAGAGACTAAAACAAAGACTCAACAATGTTCTGCATCTCAAGGTGCTGGCCACCACAGCACCTACCAGAGATCAGTTTGGCAATGCTGTCTTAGGAGAGAAACAAATGTCTTCTCCTTATTCCCAGACCCAACAGAGAGCTCAACACAGAGCAGTCCTGGCTATGTGAGGAGCTCTGCTGGTGCAGGCAATGGATCAGTGCCAGCCCACAGCAGCTGAGGATCGGGTTGCTCTTCTATTTGTGCATGGACTGTGGTGAATCCTGTCGGTGATAGGTAGTATCTGTCCCTGGCCTAAAGCCCTCAGAGACTTGGAGCGTGCCCAGCCTGCAAATCAAACTCCAGCACTCCAGTGACAACAGGGAAAGGAAGGTGGTGGGAAAGATCATCCACCCCCAGCTCTGCTCTGTGAGCCATGGGCTCTGGGCCATCCTTGCACTCAGCCTCCCTCTCTGGCCCTCTGAAACCTGGACCACAAGGGGGCTTGGGAGGAGAAATACTCCATCTGGACCTGGAACTGGTTGTCTAAGCCAGGTCAGAAAACTTCCACACAGAACTGCTTCTAGAGCTTGGTCTGTGGGCTTGGGAATCCTTCAGCATGAACAGGACCCTGAGAGCGTGAACGAGAGCCCCTGTTCTCACTAGACCAGATTTTCAGCTGACCCATTTTAACCAACCCTAACTTTTTTGGTTTTCCAAAGCCAGCACCTCATTGAGCTGAAGGCCTAACTCATTTTGTTCCTAAAGTTCAGGAGCTGTTTATGATCTAGAGCCATGCTCTGCAAAGCCCTTGGGCCTGCTCCACTCCTTTCACTTTTTCCATTTTTTATTTCCTCAGTAGCAGCTTTTTTAAAAATAGGTATTATCATCGTGGAGACTTTCCCTGAATAGCACAAATTGATAGACTCTGTCTGAGCAGCTGATAGATCTGTTCAATTATTCCTTTCCTTTCCCTGCTGGGCTGTAGGTGCTGCTGCTGCTGCTGTTGTGACACTGATTTCAAACTTGCCCCCTTTGTGCCCACAGCTGAGCTCTGCTGTGCTCAGTGCTGGCTGGGGGTGTCCAGGTGGTTTAAGGCAGGTGTTCCTGGTCTGGTCTGGTCTGGTCTGGTCTGCAATAAACTCGTGACTCAGCCCAATCTTAGGAGGGACCAGACCAGAACTGCTGTTGCTCCCATTTCTCTAGAAACTCCTGTGAGTCTGATGGCTACCACAGTCTCCCAGGCACTTCAGAATCCCCCTTTGCTTGACAAAGTTGTTCTCAGGGACCTGTGAGACAAACCCTGCACGTGTGGTGAGACATTTACCTGCTCAGGGAGATGCAGGACGAGTCAAGGTGGCTGCTCCAGCTGCTGACTGACCACAGGGCAGCCTGGTGCCGCTTCCCTGGTGTGATTTCTCTGCTGCAGTATTAGTGGCAGATGTTAATCACGCTGGGAAATGCAGCTGTGGGCAGCAGTGAGGCATCACGGTACGGGAACTGCACAGTAACCTTGCCTGGAATAGAACAGAGTGGAGCAGAACAAAGGCTCATTTCTCTTTGCAGGCACAGCTTTTTCTGTTCAGAGCTCATTAACCCCTCTGTCCCAGCTGCATTCCAGCCCAGACATGTAATGTCTGCTAAACTGCAGAGAAGTTACCAGGGAGCTGCTACAGTACTTCTGGGGTCAGCTCTGCTCCAGAGGTAGCTGCATTTTCATGGATGCAATTCCATGAAGCATAAAGTTATATACAGTGGTTTTATAAACAAAGTGTGCAAATACTTCCCACAGGCTCATCCCACAGCATTTTGTAACTCCTGATCATTTGCACAATAGAGGCATGAAGCAATGAGAGCCTTTCATGTTCTCAGCATGAATAGATCTATCAAATTTCACAACTCCAAAATTGGACTAACTTTAAAATTAATATTGATAATTACCAGTGCATGACTAAGCTTGAGTGGGTTCTCTCCTGGGGGATTTGAGAAATACTCAAGTGTAGTAGCACATGGGAGAATGGTGCAACCCACCCTTTCCAGAGCACATGGGATGTCACCAGTGACTAGCACAACAAGGAGCTCCTACTCTGGATTCAATAAAAAGCATCCTGAGATATGGATGCCTCACAGCTGAGTGTCATTTTGTTGGATATATTCCCACTGATAAGGGGATGTGTGTAACTTCACAAACTTTTCCAAGAGAAGCAGCAGGAAAATGCTGTATCTCCGGGGGTGATGGAGACCTCCTGGTTCAGCCTGGGGCAGACCAAAGACAGGGGTTCTGAGGTTGTCCCCACAGGGATCTGCCAAGTGCCTGCAAGGAGGCAGAGCTGAAGCAGGGAGGGGAGAGTTATTGCTGACTTCAGGTGAATCAGGCGTGGCTTTAGGGGCTCTCAGTACCCCTGAAAAATCTTTTCCTTATTTTGAGTGGACATTCAGAAACTGTCCTGGTGAACTGGGGAACTGTGGAGAAGGCTGTGCCCGTCTCCAGGAGCTCTGCACTGTTGATCTGTTCTCATTCTCTCCTAGGCACAATCCAGTGTGGTTCCTGGGAAGGAAACCCATCAGTGATGCTCCAGGACAGGTCTCTCGTGAGGGTCCTGCATACAAAGGGCAGCTCTGCACTTGTGTAGCTGATGGGTGAGGACACCAGCCCGGTGAGAGGAGCTACCAGGAGCAGGCAGGATGAGTTACAGCTCCCCCTCTGTGCACGACTCGTATCACAGCACCCCCACCACGGCCAGGCCAGACCCAGGGACAGCTCTGGATGTGACTGTACCAGAAACAGCCACCATAAGCCCTGAGACTTCCACCTTCAACAGCACCAAAATCCCAGATGTGGCCAGCACTGGAGCCGGCATGAGCACGATGCTGCTGTCCTTTGGGATCATCACTGTGATTGGGTTGGCTGTAGCCATGGTAAGAGAGCCCAGCTAAATAATCCTCTGTCTCTTGAGGGTAGAGGGTGGCAAGGGGTTCTAGGACTGATTTGGGTTGAATAATTTACTTGTATTCTACTAAAGACTCACCCAGAACTGCTGGGAATTGATAGTTCCTGAGATCCCTTTCTTTTAAAGCCTTTATCCAGTGCTCCAGTATTTCTGCAGGTCTCCCTGAGGTCTCCAAACGGGATGCCCAGCAGGCCTAGAAGAAACCTTATGTAGTATTTGTTTTTCATAGCAGTAGGAAGTTCCATTAAAAGAACACAAAGCAGATTCTGTTCTGACTTGTTACCTGGAACAGCTGCATTGATTTAAACCTTGTCAACACTGGGGACCTGCAAGAAAGTTCATCCAAATTAACTTTTACAGCAGACTGTTGAAACCGTGTTGATCTCCCCTGTGGACAGGGGGTAATTGTTTTTGAATCAAAGTGGTTGAATCCATCCTAGTGAGACTCACTCTGGACCGCACGTCCAAGGCTGTGCTGGCTGGGTATCCGTCCTTGAGGGTTTGCTGTGTCACTAACCTTGCCATTAACGCTGTGGGCAGCGGCTTTCAGAAACCACAGTTCTGGGCCCAACACAGGCAGTGCAAATGCTGTAGTTGTTCTTCTGATATGTAACCGGCTCGTTTCCCTGCCAGCAGAGAACAGGAGGTAGCAGCAAGCTCCCGTTCCTCGTACGAGGAAGGGCTTCACTAACACAACCAGCAGAGGAGCCCACTGCAAAATTTCATTGCAGGCCCCGGGAGGAGTTTTTCCAAAAGCCCCTAAGAAAACCTGGAAATGGTGATAAGCTCCCACGAGCAGCACCCAGCGTCCGTAGTGCTCAGCACAAGGCTGGGGAGGCCCAAAGCCTCCCTTCCTTCCCAGCGCAGCCGCTCGTTCCGGCTGACCGAGGCAAGTCCCTGAGCATGCCCTCTTTGCTTCTTCCCTTGCTCCTGGGGAGGGGGTAGCAGCACTTCTACAGATGAAAACCACCACAAAGGGAAGCTTTTCCATCCACTCTTAAACTGCAGCATACGTCCTGCAGCCACAGCAATGTGCTGAGCTACACCTAATAATACACCTAACACTCTTACTCCTACTAACACACCCAGTAACAGGCCACTCGAGCACTCAGTGCCAGACACGATGTGCTGCCAAGCTCACACTGATGCATATGGAATTTTATTTTCATTTGTCACTTCTCCCTTCCCCCTGCTTTGGTGCACAGTGACACCAACCTTCTACACCTCCTTTCTGTGTGCTCTGTGCCCAAAATGTCTCTTCTCAGCTGCTCCCTGTCCTGCCAGGACTGTTGTAATGATGGTTCTCTTTCTCCTTCAGGTTCTGTATGTCAGGAAGAGGAAGAGGTAAGTAATGCCTGTTGTTGGCTGAAGGGAACTCAGTGCTTCAGAATCCACAGTGAGCTGGGAAGGACACAGGGAGATGGGGAGGGCATAAGCGAGGGCTGTCTGAGAACCGGGCTGCAGGAATCAGCTGTGTGGGACAGGCAGGGACACTGCACTCCTGGCACTGGCCCATCCTCTGACACCAAAGCTTCAAAGACTCCTCCACAGCTTTGGAAAGAAAATAAGGTTGAGCAGGAGGAGGTTGGGGATCCTGCAGGCTCTTCATCTCTGAGATGCACCAAAACAGAGGGAAGAGTTATGGGTATATAAGGGAGCTGGGAACTCTGTCATGAAAGGTGTGAATCTCAGGTTTCTGCTGTTCCCAGATCCCTGTTTTCCAACAGCCCAGACAGTGACAGCAGCTGGCAGCAGCACAGTGCAGAGATGCAGCTCTCTAGCCCAAGACTTAGTATCCTGATTTCCTTGCTAAGCTCCTTGCTGAAAATAGAGAGGAGAGCAGCGTGCAGGGAGACACATGACTTGTTTCTTCTGTCTCTGGCAGCAGGACCAGTGAAGATCCATTAGCTGTGGTACCTCCCTACCTGATCCCTTGGGGCAGGCCTGGCCTGGCCCCAGACTTTCAAGAAGAACTGCTGCCCACTGTAAAATTTCCAAGCCTACCCTGCAGCCCAGGCCTGGATATTGCCACAGGAGCAGCTGATGCTTGGCCTGTGAAAGTAGCACTGCTGGAGATAATGGTTGTGCTGGCAAAGCCATCTAGAAGCAGGGAAAGAATGTGTCATCCTCACACTTGCCAAAATAGATATTTGTGGTGACACTGCCAGTAAGTGCTTGTGTGTTTCCTTCTGCCACCCCCCAAAACTCGGCTACAGCCCAAGGCAGGGCTCAGTGCTTTCCCAGGACCATGCCCACCCATCCATCATCCATCTCTGAGCTGCCCAGTACTTAGGGAGACTCCTTGGCGTGACACTTCATAGCTCTGTCTCTTGGAGCAATGATACAAGAGCAGGAACAGTCTGTCTGCAGGCATCAGCCTCCTGTGAGAATCTCTCTCTTTCCTGTTCTCTATTCATTTGTTTATTATTTTCTATTTATTTTTATGTACTTTAGCTCTGGAGTTAAAGTAGTGTTAGGTCACTGGAGCAAGAAGTGGCCTGCTGCTGGCAGACAGTGTGACATGGCAGGACAGGCTGTTGTGGGCACAGGGACAGGGGGAGAAGTCACAAGATGCCCAGCCAGTATGTTCCACTGGCTCTTTTGTGCCCGATCTTTTAAGTGGGATTTCAGTGGGAACTGAAATCCCTGTCTGATTCCTCTGTGTGTAATGCCTGTCAACATAGATTAGTGATGGCAATTAATCCCTGTAACTGCACTCTGGGTATCTTCCATCCTGCCAGCTGAGTGTAGTAGGTTCTTATCCTCATCCTGCAGGACAGGGTACAGCCCTTATGCAGCAGGAGCCACAGGAGCAGAATCCCTGTGCAGCAGAAGCAGCCTGCAGACAGCCTCAGCAGTGGGGTGGGGAAGGCAGCTGAGCATCTGTTCTTCTCAACCAACCCTTCTCCCTCCCCTCCCACGGGCAGGTTGGAGAAGCTACGGCACCAGCTGATGCCCATGTACAACTTTGATCCCACGGAGGAGCAGGATGAACTGGAGCAGGAGCTGTTGGAACATGGGCGAGATGCAGCATCTTCCCAGGCATCGCAGAGCAAGGTAGGAATGACCAGTGGATCTCTTCCTACACCCACTGGTACCTGCACTGCTTTCCTTACACACTCAGAGGGGGCTTGTAAACTAAGAAACCCCTGTAAGACCTCAGGAGGACTTCCCCACCTCTGCCAGCCCTGGAGACTTACTTGGGCATTTTGGAGTGCTTAGGATGGACTGAGGAGTCAGGCAACTAGGACAAAGTGTTAGTTCTACTCAAGTAGGCAAGAGAAAGGGCAACTTGAGTAATTAAGGGTGAGTTTATACAGTTTACCTCCCAGGGCACCACAAGGGAGCAGTAGGTTGAGTGTAGTTTTCTGGGAGACAGGGCTTCAGTACCCACAAAGCACTCAGGCTCTTTTGCCCTTGCCCTAAAGAGCAAGTAATTTCCACCCCCTTCCAAGCTATTCCCACTGGGCCTAAGGATTCAGGTGTGGAACAGGGCCTTGCTGAGGGAAAGCCTGTAATCATAAGAGTTAACTGTGCTAGAAGCCCTAAGAACCTTGGCCTGTAGTTTTTGGCTAATGGTCCAGGTGGGTCTTTGACAAGAGACTATCTCCTTCCCAGTGTAGCAGGAGGTAGGAGAAATAGGAAAGAAGGGCTTCTCACCGTCATTTGATGACAGCTTCACAGTGTCTTCTGCTTCCTTTGTCATCTCCACCACACAAAAAGCCTTTCTGGAAGAGCCAGCAGGGATGGTTGGAACAGGTACATCTCAGCCAGTGACACAGCCCCTCCTTCCTTCAATTCCTCACCAGTTGCTCTGTGTTGCCCGTGTCTTCCATTGCTTTTCCTGTCCAGGTGCAGGAATTCTCCCAATTCTCAAGTCTTTACACCCTCCAATAATCTGTAGCAAGCTTGTAGCAACCTTGGACAGAAAGGGAAAAGGGAGATACTAAATACAACTATAATTATAAAATATTTACCAGCCTGCTAAAGAGCACAAAGGGGACATGTATTGGAACATAAAAGATAGTTAACCTATGGAATATGTTGGTTTGGGAAAGCAAGAAATGTGTTGTATAAAAGCAAAAGATTTTGTCCTTAGAGCAGCACATACTGGGAAAACATCAGATCCCTTTATCAGTCCACACAGAGGACTTCCCTGCATGTACTAGAGGGGGGAAATTATAAGGCCAGAGGTAACCTTATTACAGTAAAAGCAGATCCTTCCTATACAGGGACTGGCCAGCAGGACACCTCAGATCCCTCCCGAGCTTGCTAGTGCAGATACCTCTGCTTGGAAACAAAAAGAGTTTAAAGGCTTAACATAGTAAGAGAGTGAGAGTCTAAAACAACAGCCCGAGTTCAGGCAGTGGCATGTTTCCAGGCCTTCTTGATGTCTCAAGTCCTTTCATGCTGCCTTGTATATATAAATAGGGAGACCCAGTAATCCAATGATGTGGGGATTTTCAGCTGGCGTGGATGTGCCATGTTACTCCCCAGCCTGTTGTATTTTCACATCACAGCCTCGCTAATGCCTTGTTAGCCAGGCCCCCCCCGCAGGGACGGATGCAGTGCCCGAGCCAGGGCAGCCGTGCTGGCTCTCAGCTGTCCCTGCCCCCCTGCAGGTGCTGCTGGCAGGCCCGGGGGCCCTGCAGAGACCCAGCCGCCTCGTGTTCACCGACGTGGCCAACGCCATCAACGCCTGACCTGCACCCGCCGCGCCCACGCCACGGCAGGACGAGCCAGCAGAGCAGTGACTGCACGGCTGATCCACTGAGCCCCCTGGGCACCCCGGTGGTTTGTGTTAGGAGTGGGCAGGGCACTGCCAGCCCTCTGGGAAGCAAACCCTTTGTGAGGGCAGTGGTGATTTTCTGGTGCGTCTGTTCCCACGGAAAGGTCCCGAGCTCGTTTTTGGGCTGGCGCTGGCTGATTGCACCTGCCAAGCTCTGTGCCTCGGAACAGCGCCTGCCTGGTGGAGATTACCCTGTGGGCTCTCTAGGTCAGGGAAGGAGCAGAGGTGCACATTTCAGACACCTTCCCCATTGGGTCTGTGGCACCAGGCCCCATGGAAAGCGATGAATGAGCCTCTCTGTGCAGTGGCCACAGCTCTGGCAGGTCCTGGGAGCGGGGTGGGGGTGACTGGTGGCAAAGCCCCTTTGAGCAAGGAGAGCTGAGTGGTAACTGGGGCACACCAGGGAAAACACACACCAGGGGTTTATCCCCACTGTGGTGTGTGGGCTGCTGGTAAACGAGCACCAGGGTGATGTTGAAGCATGGGGAATTCACTAGCTTTAAAAAGTGAAACAGAACATGTGGCTGATTACATCTTAACTGAGGAAGTGGCTGAGTATCCCAAATCGGGGCTATTGTACTGAGAGTGGAATTCACACAGCCAGAGGCAGGGGCTGTCAGGTCTGGCTGAATGACTCTGTGCTGCTGAACTAGGAATAACAGTGCTTGGGCCACGAAGAGGAGCTGAGTTGGGGTTCCAGTACCACATATCTCCTCCTGCTTTGGCTCAGGGAAGTTTCTACAGGGCAGAGTGTTATCCAGAAAAAAAGATTAAGCTTTGAAATGTTTTCTTTTTAAAGAAAGAAAAACATGTGTTGGCTCAAACATTACAACAGCCCCATGTCTGCCCCCAGAGGTGACTAACAGCTGGTTTGTACTTCCTTACCTGCCAGGACCTGCAGTCAGAGCCTTCTCTTCCTGCTGAAGGGAACACAGAGCTCTGTGTTAGCCTCTGCTTGTGTCACCTGCTAGGAACAGGTAGGTGGGACTAGACAGGTAAGCCAGGAGGTTCCCTGTAGCCCTGAAGCGTCTCTGCCTGACATCCTTCAGGGCTGCAGGAGGAAGAGAGTGCAAAGGGGGCTGTGGCTACCTTGGCACGTGGCAGTGCAGTGTGGGGTCTGTGCTCTGCTGCTGGGCACCAGCCCCAAGGGCTGCAGAGCACAGCAGTGCCCAGCAGCAGTGCCCAGCCCTGCCCTGAGCCCTCCTGATCATAATCCATCCACAGTCAGAAGGGAATCTGGGCAAGCCAAAATTTGAATGCAGATCCAAAGCTTTATACAAGGGGATGTTTCAGAATGGCAATTCAGGTATCATGTGCTTTGCTGCAAGTCTGGACCTGCCAGTTAGTTTTTGTTTTCCAAAATAATTTTTTCCCCTTCCCCACTGTGATTGTTTTTTTCCATATTCATCAAATGCAGGCTCTTTCCTGGGCATGTGCCACTGACCCCTGCAGGGCACAGTTCCTTACCAGCCCTCCCTCCTTCACTGACACAGCTGCCCTTGTGGCAGCTTTGCAGGGATAAATTGCTTCAACTTTTCACTATCCCACTGTCTCTGTAAAGCTAGGGAGTTCTGGGAATACATTAGGAGTGGGAGTGTGGAAAACAGCCCATCCTTCACAGCCAGGAGGCACTCCTGGGCTGCTGCTGTTTGCCTTCAGGCATGCTGTTGGAAGGAAGGTGCCTGGGTACAAATACTCAGTTTAATCCAGATTAACCCTTAGAATTTGGGCTCTGTCTGTGGGTCTTGCCAGAGGTCACGACCAGCTGAGAAACAAACATCCCTCCACCCACACACACTTACCATCTCCAAGTGCTCACTGGGAGTGGACAGCCACAGAGACATCGGATTTCTCCCCTCAGGAGCTGGCAGGGGCTGCCTGCCACGTTCCCGTGTTCTGCAGCAGGACAGGGATGCAGGGGGCACTGGGAGTGCATGGCCATCCTAAACCGCAGCACTGCCCCCAGAAATCTTAAGGATCAGAACTTAACTGGTTGTTTTAAACTCAATAAAAGGCAATTGTAAGCTGAGCTGTTTCCTCAATCCCACAGCCCCCTTAGTGCTCCTCCCCAGCTCCGTGTGCTGCCCAGGGAGCTGCCCAGCAGTGCATGTGCCAGCTCAGGTGCAAGGACTGCACCTTGTTCCACGTCAGTACCGAGGTAAATCCCGTACAACAAACACACCTGCAGAGGAATCCTCTCCAGCCATTCTCCCTGTGATGGTAGGCTTTGTGTCCTGTGATGACTGCCCTTAGATTAAAGAAGTACAGATAATAAGGCTAAAAGAATATTACGGGTATTTGCTGGGCTTGTACTGGAGTATTCTTTTAGTTCCATAGCGCCTCCTCACAACTCTTGGAAGCATATGTATAATTTAGCAGAAGCATTATGATGTAATTTAATTCAAGTGTTTCTGTGTTTTAAGCATTGAAATATAATTAAATTATTTACATGAAAATCTGGTGTGATTGTCTTTTCTCCCCCCCCATCATTTGCATTTTCCACAGGAAACTGCTGGACTGGATCCTGGGTATCTGTTGGTAATTTGTGTGAATTCCCCTGATCTTTCAAAAACTGAACTAAGTGTGAAAAATGTGGAAGGGGAAGCTGTGCAGGGGTCAGGGTTTTGAGTCCTACTGCAGAGGTTTGATGAAATCCAGGTGTGGGCCCTCTGGGCTGAGGCAGAGCAATCGACATCTGATGATAACTCCTCTGCTTCTCAAATCAAGGGTTTTTCCCCAACTCTCCTAGCCCAAGGCTTTCTTCAAAGCCCACTTAAATCCTTTTCCACTGATGTCTTATTTTGGGATCCAACATCTGCTCCTTTCTTTTTAATTTTCTGAAAAACAAAAACTCAGAACTCTGATCAAACATTTGCTAAATACAAAACAAAATGCAAAGGAGTACAAAATCTGAATGTTGCTACAATAATTATTTTCTTAAACCTAGCATCAACATTGAAAAGCATCTAACCAATCAAAAAGACTATTAAACATTTGTTGGATATAGAAAAGTAAGCAAGGAACAAAATGCAAAAGGAATACAAAAGTCTCAAAGAATACTAAAATAACTATGGATTAATATTAAACATGTTTAGCGAGTTTAAACAGACTATTTAACCTATTCTATTGTCTTCTATCAGAACTTATTCTTATGAAACTTTATTTAAGCTATCCTTCTAAAGATCTTCATTAGAACAGACTTATAAGCAAATGAAAACAAAGTAACTTTGATAGTTTTAGGGTTTGTTTTCCTGACTTTTATACAGGGCTTGTTCCTGAAAACTTTTATTCAGTCCAAAACATCTCTGCAAATGAAGCTCCATTCAACTCAGAGTTTTGTGTTTTATAATTTCTATCTAAGGGTGCATAAAAAACATGGTGTGTGTATTTTGCAAGCAAAACCAGAGCATATTAATACATTCACACATTCAGACATTCATTCACATACAGCTTTCACATGGTGGCCACCAAACATACTTTCACACAAACATACTTCTGAGTTTTACTTTACTGCATTTTCTGGATATGAAATGAGAAATTAGCACTCTTGTTTCTCACCCTTAGATTAGCAATATCTAACTCTGTGTTTCTTTGGTACTTGAATTACTGCTTTGATGAGAATATAACCTGTAAAACAAACATATTTCTCCATGTTCAATTTAAAATTCAAAACCATGTAAACTTGTTTTATAATCCCCCAAGCTCCAGTTCTGATCAAGAGCCACTCACCTTGCCTGGTGATGTGCACAGATGTGTGCTGAGGGTGTTGCACAAGGAGGAGGCAGAGCAGAAGTCCAAGAGGCTTGTGTTTCATCCCTTTATTTCAAACAAACTTCAAGGATAATTTTCAAGTTGCCAACGCTCTTTATGCCTTCACCAAAACCATTTATGAGAAACTCCTCAACTTTGCTAGATAACAAACCTCATTTATCTTTTGTGTTTTGACCAGTTGTAATGACCTCTTATTTTTGGCCAAGTGAGACTAAAACTGCCTGAGTTTAAAAACCACTTGAAATTCATTTGCTTAGAGGTAGGATTTGGCTACACAGAAAAGGTAACTAACAATATGGAAAATAAGAAGTGATTAACATTTCAAAAAAGACAATCCCAAGCAATCCAGTGTGAGATCCTAGGTCTCTGAAGATGGCTGGAATTCTGCTCACCTCCCATTCTAAATCTGCATAACCATGGAAGCTGAAGCTATGGATTGGGATTTCAACTACACACAGTGTGGAATTCTGCTGCTTCTCCTCAAGCACTTGCATTTTTATGGAGCCATCCTTTCTACTGTGGCTTTCCAACAAAGTATTAAGAGGTAGCAAAGACTAGACTTTTATCAAACATTTTAAGAGAGGTACTTTGTATGCATTCCCAGAGGAATGCTGCTGACCTAAAGAAAATGGATTTACTATCTAGCCAAGGCAGTTTCCACCCCTATTCTGTGCCACCAGCTGAGAAAGCTCTGACTGATGGCACAGGAAGAGCTCGAGTCTCACAGATGTAATCCCTAATCCATTTAGGAGAAGCTCAAGTTCCAGTCTCACACTGTGACAGGTGTTGCTCTCAGGTAAACAGTGATTAATTAAACAGGCAGCACAGCCTTGCAAGCAGAGCTCTGAACCTGCCAATTCACCTGCACCAAAATCAGGTACAGAAGTTGGTACAATATTTTGGTCTGACACTGGAGTGGCCTTTGAAGGCACGTGAACAGCAGCTGAACTCGTGTGTCCACTGAAGAGCAGCAGCTCCCTCACCTATTTCAGGCAAACACTGCTTGCATCTTCTTGTGTAAGCATCGACAGTTACCGATTTACATGTGTCATGTCCCACCTGGATTTCTCCACACAGCAGGAGTCAAACTCTTCCCACATCTGGCAGCAGCGTAGGATTTAGGTCAGTCCCTGTGATCTAAGCCAGTTAGTCCTCGATTTCTTTGCTATTTGGTAGCAGAGGCACAAAAGTTCCCTGTGATGCAGTTTTCTGCTGTGACCACCAAGCTCACAGAATTAGGACCAGGACTCTGATCACTACTAAGCAGAATTAATGGGATCAGAGCTCTCATCACTACTAAACAGGGTGGACTGGACAAAATGACCTAGAAGAAAAAAAGGCACTTTTCCTCCCTCTTATCTCTTAATCAGCCCTTCCTCTTAATTCTGCATACATTTTCTTGTGTTAAATAAATACTTGCCAAGGGAACAGAACTCTGATGAAAGGATAATAAATGAGCTCAATACATACTGCCATTTCATGGGTTTCTGCTATGCACCACCATAAATTTAAAGCCAATTATGTTCTGTTTAAATATTTAGCACTGTAAAGCTAGCCAATTTTACATCCTGTCAGAGATAATTGAAATACCCACTTTGTCCCTTTAATAGGCAGGCAGAACATCCAGGAGACGGAAACCACCACCGAGATTTCACTGTCTGCAACTGGATATTGGAAACACCCGCAACTCCTAAGAATTTAACAAGTTCAGCTCTGACACCAAAAGCACAAATCTGCAAACAGTGTGAGACTGAGAGCAGCCAGCATCGATGTCAAACTGCCTGGCTACTGCTGCCTCCCAAAGCCAAAGTATCCCAAGGTTTTATTTGCATGGCTGTGACACTAGGGGACCCCCCATACGCACGCTATGGACTGAAGACACAGCCAATTTAAATTGAATCCTGAGGCTCTGCAAGAAAGTAACTTTAGTCTAAACTGGTTCTTTACAGACACTCCTTTGAAGGATGAAATCCAGTGGCTGTGACTAAGCTTGTAAGCACTGGGAGCTGCTATCAAATTCGGGGGGGCACCACCAGGCTAAAAGCAAGTTATAAGAGATGGCCCTGAGCTGATCATGTTGAGATAATATGTTCAGAATGAAACCCCAAGACAATCAGGGTGTGAGTTTTCCCCTAAAGCATCCAAGTTACTGACTGCTGGAGCAACAGCACTGGAAATGCTATGAAGGTTTTTCTTTCTGATATAGTCAGGAAAGGACTCAAAGGCTCTCTGAGATGCAACCCCCTATGGGCAACTGAGCCAAAGTCAACTCTTGGCACTGCTCCATCACTCTGCCAGAGGTGGGATGATGAACAAGCCGAGCCATTAGCTGTGTAAATAGATTTCCATTCCTGTATCTGCATTGCTCAACATTACTTTTCTGTTGAACTACTGCAGTCTGTGGCAGGGTAAGGCACCAGGTTATCCAAGTATTTTCAAAGAAACATTAATATCCTCACAAAAGGTACACTACAAACTGTGCAAGGCATCTCTCCAACAAGGCATTTGCTCTTTCTTCCCCCAAATCCCTGTTTGGGTGTTTGAGGTAAGGAAATCAGCAGACAACAGGAGAGCGAGCTTGGCCAAAATTATCACAAAGGAAGAATCTGAAATACATCATTAAAAATCCTGTTTGGTTTCCAGTCCTCTGGCTTCAGTAAGACATGAACAGGTAACAGGTGGCACTACTGAGCTGTGGCAGGGGTGGCACTCTGAGATCTCTTAAGACCAGCAGTTTTACCGGGCCTGGAACCGCGTTTTCCAGTGATGCCTAAAGGGAAAGATCGTGGGAAGAGAGAGGGTTAGAGCTCTGGGTCCAGGAGCCTTGCTAAACAAGAGCCCCTTACAGAGCCAGTGCAAGGCTAAAAGGTGACAAGAATCCACTCCCAAACAACCAAAGGGCTTCAAAACAACATTCCCATTGCTCTTGTACCAGCTCCAGGCTAAACAGAGCTCCTGACACAAATGGCTTTCTTGGCAGCAGGGCCCAGCATGAGGCTACTGAGAGCCCAGAAGTGACAGCCAGTGTGAAATTGTCTGCTTCCTACTGTGCAAACTCATGATCAACCTGTGCTGAGAGCAGCTATGTGTTTCCCTGGATCCTCACCAGACACAAAGTACCACAAGCGCCCCACCCAACATTGAACACCAGGAAAGCAGAGGCACAGAAGGGCTGAAAATTGGCTGAGAACGGGGAATGTTTCTGGCTACACAGGTTTGCTGTGATCTGTGGGCTTCAGGAGAGCTGAGGGGACCACTGGGCCAGCAGAGGGAATAAAGAGAGACAAGGAAGTTTGCAGCTGCTCCATCTCAAGTGCACGATGAAGAACGCAGGGAAGCAGAGACAGACAGAAAGGGGCAAGATCCTGAGGCTGCTCCTGGCTTTGTACTGGGTCTTGGAAATTTTGCCATAAAGCAAACTCTTTCCCTCTCACACCTATACTCTGTCAGCCAAGCACAGTTACTGGGAAAAACCACAGCGGCTTTCTTTGGCTTAGGAGGCTGTGAAATGAGGGCCATCAATCCTCTGGTAGGGGTACTCGTGGAAAGGAAGACAAATGCTTCTTGACTCAGACAAACAGAAAACATGAACACCACAGTTGTGACTGGCAGCATCTGCAGGCAGCAACACAACAGAGCCTGATCCATTAACAAACTCCTGCCTGGTCCTGGATAACTTGGAGTC